TTTAAAGCTATGCGAGGGGAGCGGGTTTAAGGCAGGGCGGGTTTAAGGTTGTACAGGGCGGGTTGAAGTGAGTTTTTTAAAAACTAATGTGGGGCGGGTTGCGGATATATGTGATTTTATGTGGGGTTAAACTTAATTTTAATTTTTTTACATGTTATAAGAGTGATAGATAAGCATTAGTTTATTAAGATAATTTCTTTAAAGCTACTAAAATATTCAAGATAGTAAATGAAAATGGTTCAATAAAAAAAATGGTTTAATAAAAAATAATTCAATTTGTTGCATTTTTCTCAATTGACCTCTAAAAAAATAAAATTTTAAGTCACTATCCTATTAAATTAATACAACTTAATGAAAAAATGAATGCATTTTTATGAATTTTATTTTTAGTATCAAACTTAACTAGAAAAAAAAAATTAAAAAATTTATGTGAGGCGGATTCATGTGGAACGGGTCTATGCGGGGCGGGGTGGGGATGGTTGAAAATGAAAAAAAAATATTATGCGGGGTTGGGTGGGATGGATTAAAAATTTTACGGTTTAAACTCAACCTACCCCACCCCACACCGCTCCATTGTCATCCCTAACAATAACGATAGACTGTAATAGGCAACTAATTGTAATTCTCTTAAGAATTCTTTTTACGTGAAGAAATTCTTTGTTTCATTCAATTAGAAATGTCATTGTTTTGCTAATGTTAACTTTAACGGTTTATACAAGAAGGTCAGCATCGTATTTAGTTTGCTTGTATTGTTGTATTGTTACAATACCAAAAAGAAATTGGAACCACCCATACCATTATATATCATATATTTATCGTTATACAATATCAATATTATATATATAAATATACTAGCTAGATAGCATTGTATTTAGTTTGCTTTTATTATTATTGATTATGTTCTAAAGAACAGAGAAATGAAAGGTGATAAGTGTATTTCAATGCATGGAAATAAAGGTACATTTCAAACAAATAAAGAGAGCTTAAAGGTGATAATTTAGTTTACTCACTTAATTGAACAACTCAAATTAAAATCTATGAAAAATAATCTTTTGGTAATGATAGCTAAAAATATTATAGTAAATGTTAATTATATAGCGTCAAATTTCATTCCTACTCTTTTTGATATAATTTTTGTATAACTTTCTTGTATATTGAAACAAATAAAAATGCATTAAATCTTCCCGATCATTATGTTTTAAATTTCAATATTTAACTTACAATTAATTTTAATTTTTTCATCAAAAGTCTTCATATAATTACTAGAAAATAATTGTAATTTGTTTTTAGCAAAAGTCTTCTTATAACCATTAGAAAAATATTATTATATATGTAGTACAATTAATATTTAGAAAAGTTCTTTATTTAATTATAAAGTCATAACATTGCAATAATTTTAAGTTTTTAATTATACGATAGTAACTTAGTTTGATATTTTAGAACTTTGAATTGAATTATTTAAAAGTTATTATTCATCAATAAAGATTTTTAAGAAGAGGAACCAATGAATTGTATTGCAACAAATGTCTATCATTTTATTAAGTTGAAGGAATCTTTCTCATTATATAATAAAATATAATTATTTTTTACATTGAATAATTATGAATTATATATATATAAATTGATCACTATAT